AACAGAACACTTCTGAGGAGTGGAATCCTACTCTCTGCAAACAGATAAGTTTACTTTACCCACTTTATGGGGCAAAGTATGGTAAGAAAAATAGACTTTTCCTATTTTCATTGCACAGTTTATTAAAGGTACCCTGGAATATTGCTGGAGAGAGAAACACACCTCTTCCCCACAGTGGTTGGTTTGTTATCTCTACATTGATTGCCTAGGCTTCACTACAATTGAATACATTGTAATTGGTTGAGTTTAGACCAGTGGTTCTCAACCTTTTTAATGCCACGACCCCAACCGGTCGTAAATCAAGGACTACCCAACCAGTCGTAAGTCGAGGACTACCCAACCGGTCGTAAGTCGAGGACTTTCCCTGCCCAGGAGCGCTGTGCATGCGTGGTGCCACCCCCTGCGCCGGCCGAGGCGTAGCTGGCAAGGGGCAGCGATGGCGCAGGGTGACCACCGGCTGGGCCACCAGCTGGTCCAGCCCAAGGGAGGTAAGGCACCCGCCGGGCCCCACACGGGCCAGCAACCCTCCCTGCGTCCGCTGGCCTCCCACCTCCCACCCCTGGCCCTCTTTTACTTACATTTTTAGTAGTTGCTCAGCAGGGAGGGGTGGAAGCTTCCAGACAGCTTGCCTTCGCTGCAGACAACTTGCAGCACCGTTTGCAGACTAGGACTCGTTTCAGAGTTATTTTCTTACCTAAAAAAAGAATGATCATGGCCTGGAAAAAATCAGAACGACTTTTGTTGGCTTCCCCATTGAATTTCTTATGGAAAGCTGACAGTGAGTGTCAAAAATTCCTTCCTTCCTTCCTTCCTTCCTTCCTTCCTTCCTTCCTTCCTTCCTTCCCTCCCTCCCTCCCAGGAACCAGCTCCCAGTATACACCTAGCAGCTGTTTGAAACTAGGACAGAACCCCCCAGAGGTTCCAAATTTCTGATGGCCACTCCCCCTGCAGCCACATGATTGCATTTGAAGTGCTTGGCTTGTATTTACAACCATTTGCAGCATCCTGCAGTCACATGATTGCATTTTATAATGGTTTTGCCAAAAGTAGGCATTTACTTTCAAGTTTTGCAATATTGGCCCATAGCGAACCATTGCTTAATGACTGCAGCAGTTACTTTATGGCTGTGGTGTTCACTTAATGACTGCCACAAAAAAGATCATTAAGTCTTGTCAGTTACATGGGTAATTTGCTTTATGACCATCACAACTTACAACTATGATGGGCAGGTTCCAATTTACAGTTGTAAGTCGAGGAGTACTTATATATTTTATCTTTTCTGGAAATCTGTACCTAAGTACATACAACATGTTAAGATAAAATTGTTAGCATATGTGACTTAGCATGTTTTCCCAACACAGCCAACATAATAAACCATGAGCAAATAAACCACAGGCTAACTTTTTATTTGAATACATTACTGTTGTTGGAGCACTTTACTTGCCCAAGTTTCATTATCTCTGGGCTCATATCTCATGCTAAACCATAGTTTAGTGAATAAACCACAATAAGCTGGATATAAACAAGGTAAAATGCCATAGATTATGAATTACTGCTTATAATAGCTGAGTCTCACATCACATTAAAACCAAATCAAGCAAATAATATGATTTGCAGTGATTTATTTTGTGGGAAGTCAGCGCCGCCACCCCAGAGAAAGAAATAACTTGAGAACCACTGATATAATGCAATAAATAAAACTATATTGAATCAGCAAGTTTAAGAGAGGCTTAGGAGCCTACTAAGCCATATTATACAACTAAATTTTGTCTAAACCAGCGGTTCTCAACCTGTGGGTCGCGACCCCATTTGGGGTCGAACGACCATTTCACGGGGATCGCCAGACAACGCAGTCCGTCATTTTTTCCCCTTTTCCTTAGCTGTGCTATTCCCTTTTATTGTATTGGCTTTTGAAAGCCAATAGAATAGACTCTCTTGAATAGAGTCTAATTCTATTGGCTTTCAAAAGCCAATAGGAATTGTCCAGGCTGTCTCTGCCCTGCTGAGCCCGCCAAAAGTCCCATTCTGCAAATGGTGCTGCACCAGTTGAGTAGTCCTCGACTTACGACCGGTTGGGGGTCACGGCATTAAAAAGGTTGAGAACCACTGCATTATGTGAACAGTTGCTCTTAGAAGAAGAAAGAATGGGGCTAGCCTCTGATTTACATGACCATATCAGTATTTGGTGAAATAGGCTAGATTCCATAAGTTCTTTAAATAAATTGTTGAAAGAAAAAGTCTTCAACAAAACAAATGTAGATTGCTTTAGAAAGAAGGTTGGAGTTTATTGAAGAGCAAAACCACAAGACAGGCTCTGGAACAACTGACCACATGTAGCTGGGAGTGGTGGATTTTTATACCTTCTTAGGCTTTTGTGTTTGGAGTTCTTCCTATTTGAGGCTTTGTATTTTCTGTGTCATGTACTTTGACCTGAGCTTTTAAGTGTGTCCTTTTCGATATTGGTGGGTTAATCCTATTATGTCCTGCAGGTCATGTCTTTTAGAGTTTGGGTGGGGTATGTAGATTTTAGGGGTCTTTGTCTTCCTCATCTCATCAGCTTCTAGCTTCCTGGCTCCATCCTTTCTGAAAAGATTATCACATCTGCTTTTCTACAGACCTGGTTTCTGCTTGGGGCTGAGAGACAGGGTGTTGGTTTCTCGGGGCTGGTTTTGTCTTAGATTTTTTTTTCTCCCATTATTGCTTTGGAGAAATATATTCTGTCTTTTTAATATTCCCCAAGTTATTTCTTTCTCTGGGGTGGCGGCGCTGACTTCCCACAAAATAAATCACTCCAAATCATATTATTTGCTTGGTTTGGTTTTAATGTGATGTGAGACCCAGCTATTATAAGCAGTAATTCATAATCTATGGCATTTTACCTTGTTTATATCCAGCTTATTGTGGTTTACTCACTAAACTATGGTTTAGCATGAGATATGAGCCCAGAGATAATGAAACTTGGGCAAGTAAAGTGCTCCAACAACAGTAATGTATTCAAATAAAAAGTTAGCCTGTGGTTTATTTGCTCATGGTTTATTATGTTGGCTGTGTTGGGAAAACATGCTAAGTCACATATGCTAACAATTTTATCTTAACATGTTGTATGTACTTAGGTACAGATTTCCAGAAAAGATAAAATATATAAGTACTCCTCGACTTACAACTGTAATTGGAACCTGCCCATCATAGTTGTAAGTTGTGATGGTCATAAAGCAAATTACCCATGTAACTGACAAGACTTAGTGATCTTTTTTGTGGCAGTCATTAAGTGAACACCACAGCCATAAAGTAACTGCTGCAGTCATTAAGCAATGGTTCGCTATGGGCCAATATTGCAAAACTTGAAAGTAAATGCCTACTTTTGGCAAAACCATTATAAAATGCAATCATGTGACTGCAGGATGCTGCAAATGGTTATAAATACAAGCCAAGCACTTCAAATGCAATCATGTGGCTGCAGGGGGAGTGGCCATCAGAAATTTGGAACCTCTGGGGGGTTCTGTCCTAGTTTCAAACAGCTGCTAGGTGTATACTGGGAGCTGGTTCCTGGAAGGAAGGAAGGAAGGAAGGAAGGAAGGAAGGAAGGAAGGAAGGAAGGAAGGAAGGAAGGAAGGAAGGAAGGAAGGAATTTTTGACACTGTCAGCTTTCCATAAGAAATTCAATGGGGAAGCCAACAAAAGTCGTTCCTGCGCACACTGATTTTTTCCAGCCCATGATCATTCTTTTTTTAGGTAAGAAAATAACTCTGAAACGATGATGCAAAGGGTCACAGATTATTACCACTAAAACTCTCATGTCTGTAACCTTTAACAATGGTTACAATGCATCATAGGACAAAACCTTTTCAACCAAAGTAGTTCAAATGAGCTAACTTACAGAATGCTGGGACCCATTACTCCCATGGGAATGAAAGTTTTTGCCATTTCAGTGCCATTGTGCTACTGTTATTCAGCACCGTCATGACCATGTGATCCTCATTTACAATGTTCCTTGGAACCTTCTCACAAATTAATGGGGAAACCAGGAAACTTGCAGGGAAACAGTCAACGGGGATCACATGACTACAACTGATGGTGGGAATGTGGCTGGGTGGCTAAACCTGCATCCTCTATTTAGTTAAGGAGATATATCTGAAAGGATGACCCAACAGGTCATAGGTCTAGTAAAAACTAAAAGCCTGTGTAGTCTACATCTGAATTATTTTGAAAAAAGAAAAGCCCTTGAGTAAATTTGGGGAGGTGTTTAGAATTTTCCAGACCTTTTTCTTTTAATTATGTAAGACAGTTTTATATACCCATTACTTTTTACTTTCAGATAAAACAAATGATGTAGCAGAGAACAGTGCCAAAGCAACCTGTTCCAATAGCAACAAAGACAATTTCAACTTAACATTAAAATGATAAAACAGTTCTGAATCTCTCTGGAAAGGTCCCACAGATTCTTTATTATAAGTTTCTAACTAGAGGCTGGATAACCACTACTATCTACAAAGAAGACCAGATCAAAAGTTTTGAGATCAATCACCCAATCACAGCATGTGCAACCTTAATTTCCCATAATGCCTACCATACAGCTTTTTTCCTGCGGCATTATGGGAAATGGAAAAAAAAGTGTAACTGCTGGCGAGGATGCTTTATAGAAGCACTGCTGCCCAATAAGCCTACTGGAAAGTCTTTTTACTAAGCCCGCCCCCCGCCCAAAGCTCTAGTAGTAATTCAATTCTGCACTTTTACTTAGGAGTAAAACCCCAGTGGAATAAATTAGTGTATTCCAGGGCAAATATGTTGCAAAGGAGCCCTCCGTCCCTCCTGCCTTAGATCGTATCTTTACAATGCATGCAGGCGCTGTGTGTGTGTATGTACGTGTGTTGCCATGCTGACCTTCGCTGGCTCCAATCCAGGATCATGACGCCATTCTTGCCCCGCCCCCTGCTCTCGGTCACAGAGGCCCGGCCCACACTCCCCGGCCGCCGACGTTAAAATAGCAGGCGAGTCCACTCGAACGGCAGACTCTTATATACAGGGGAGGAAAGAAAGGTGTAGAGGAAGAAGCCGTTTTAACTAATCTACCTTTTCACGGGTTTCGCACTCTTATATCCCCGTGGGATACTCGACGTACAACGGAGGGCTCTGAGTCGGGAGGAACAGCCACAGTTCTCGGGCAACGTAAAACCCCTTGAGATATTCGAGCCCCCTCTTTCAGTCGGAGCGGTTGGACGCGCCCGGCGCGCGTCATCCATTGTTTACAAACCAACCGCAGGACCAACAACAGCGTTGGAGAAGGCAGGGAGCGTGCGGGAGAGGGCTCGCTTGGCAGTTACGAGCGCCGTCGCTGCGGGCCCCCCAGAAACAGCGACGCGTGCCAAGTGAAGGGGAAGGCAGGCAGGAGAGCAGCGGCGATGCCTTGCCGGCGGCCGGGCGGAGAACGCTTCGTACTCCTGGAGCGCGGTGCCGGGACTGCCGGCAGCTGCTCCAAAGAAGTGGACGCCTTGGTGGCCAAGCTGGGCGAAGTGCTGCAGTTGAGCTCTCAGCACCGGGCGCCAGCGGCACCCCGCCTCCTCCCGAGGCACCACGGCCGGGACCGAGTGGCTCCCTACTCGTCCCCGAGAGGTCTCGGCTTCTTAGCCTCGCTACACCATCGCCACCCGCCGTCCCACCCGCGCCAGTCGCCGTCTTTGCTCCTTTGGCAGCCGCCCCCCCCACCTCCGCCGCCCACTGCGGACCAGAAGGGTAGTCCGCGAACCTCCAAGCAACTGTGTGGCCGGGGCTGGTTGCGGAGCTCCGCTCGGGCTGGGAGGAAGCAGCCCCGTCGCCACCACCGCTACCGCTCGCTGCTGCCTGCGGGCGACGACGAGGATGGCGACCCTCACCGCCTCCTGCAGCAGCTCATCCTCTCCGGCAACCTCATCAAGGAGGCGGTGCGGAGGTTGCAGTTGGCGGCCTCGACGGCGGCCGAGACTTCTTCTACCACGGGCTCCCCTGGCTCCGTTTCGTCCGCCGGGAGCTGCTGCCGCTGCAGTAGCAGCGACGGAGACGCGGGCGCAGCGTTCGCCGTCGCCTCTTTGCAAGCCCTGCCCTAGCCCTGCCGGGACGCAGCCTGGCCTTCGGATTGCCGCCCGCCAAGGGAAGAAGCTACGGGACGGCGCCGTGGGGAAGAGACCGCGTCTATTTGGCTTGCCTGATCCCGTTAACGCGCGGGCAGGGTGGCCGAAGCGCCGGCGAGCGGGCGCGACGGCAAAGCCCAGAGGCGGATCATTCAATCCGCGCCAGATACTTGAAGCAGACCCTCGCGGGGGCTTTGCCAGGACTTTCAGCGATGATTCTCGGTCGCTTTTCATTACTCTTGAGCCACTTGACGGGCTGCTCCTGTTTCCCTTTTGGGGAAACAAAAAAACAAATAAAAAACAGAGGTGCTATTTCGGCCCCGGACGGTTGCTCTTTAGCCTCCCGCCCGGCCGTTCATCAGTCCCGGTCCCGTCCCTTGTCTGTCCCTCTGCCCGACGATCCGGATCCGCCTTCGGTGCTGGAATTGGCGCTTCCCACCCGGGCGCCGAAACCCTACCTCTCTCGCTCTCTGCCCTTGGTGTGGAAGCGCAAAGAAGGGACCATCCCGCCTGGCATTGTCTAGTGTGAAATCCTATGGGCTATTGAAGAGTAAAGACCTGTCCGCGTACGATCGGAAGGGGAGGAGGGGTGGGCGCCATAGACGCTGCTGGACACAGATATAATACGCTTTAGATCACCATGCCCTTCCCTTCTCCATCTTTCTCGCGAAGGTCACCCCATTTTCTGCCCCCACCCCGTGTTTTGGTGTCTTGCTGTGTTCCCCAGGCAGGTGGCCACGGTACTGTAACCCCATCCCTGCTTGTTTTGACTGGGCTGTGGGCAAACCCTGTGTGTTTTGTAACGGCTGGGAGTCTCCTGAGGACGAACACGTTGGTCCAAGCTTCCCTCTCCTCTCCTCACCCCACCCCCGCTTCTTTCCAAAAGCTCCTCCTCTCCTTACAAGCTGGATTTTTCAGAAAGGGGGTCATATTTCAGTAAGCTTTCTAGGAAAACTACCCGGGGGGGGGGCAAGGAGGGGGAGATTTTCTCCAGCCAGAAGAGAGCCCCGGGATTTGCTTGTTGATTCCTGTATGTAATGGCAAGTCAATATGTCCCCAAAGAAGAAAATAAATTCTTGCCCCTTTTTCTGATTAGATGAAGAGGAAAATTCCGTTTCTGAAGACCCCTGTCTGCACCCTCCCTTCTGCAATTTCTTCTCCTTTGGGGCATTCATAGTTGTTTGTTTTTTTTAAAAAAAACAAAACACTAGAAATACAATCTATATGAAGCCATTTAAAAAAAAAAATAAATACGAATCTAAAAGCTGGGAAGCAGCTGGCTTCAACTGAACATTATCAGATTGTGGATGAAGAACTCTTTTCACAGAAGGTAGCTAATCACAAGCTTTTAAAAATAAAAACAATAAAATGTGTGTATATATCTATATGCGTGCACACACACTTCCGGTTTAGCAGAAGCAGTTGTGGACTAGGTATGTGTGTATAAATGTTTTTACGCATATTTATATATATACACATATGTACACTTCGTAACGGAGTGTTGAAGTTGTGTTCCTGGTTTTCAGGGGTTGTCTTTAATGTGTCTCTATTGAATAAACATGGTAGACTTTATATATTAAAAATGGAGTCTTCTGTGTCCTTTGTCCTAGAATGGTTTATGATGCCTCTTTAATGTGCATAACCAATTATTTTGCCTATTGCTGAGAAAGCTGGTTGGTTGTTTTTGTTTTTTTTTTTCCTAGCACAACTGGTAGAGAGTGCAATGGAAAGATCTGGTTAGGATTTCTGCACTACGCCAATCAGTTCCTTTGTTTCCTGCCAAACATGGTTCTGGGCACTTTTGTTCATATTGCTCTTGATAATGCCTCTGAATGCAATAATACTTGAAACCTCTAATTTCACCCTGTTCCCCCCTCCCTCTGCACACTTTGTGGTAAGAAAGAATGATGCTGGACCTTTGCAGCAGGTCTTAACTTGATTATAATTGAGCTACAGTAATCTTGGATGCAGTCCAGATTCACTGACATCACTACACCGCTCTCCATTTGAAGTATTTAAGAAGAGCATAGTTTTTCTCTAGATACCAATTAAAATAAATGCCAATTAAAGTATTTTCAGAACACTCATTTGACATTTACTTTGGATTACTAGCTATAATTCAATTTAAAATATGTCTATTTGCTGTTCTACTGTTTATCTGTGTCCCAATTGTACTCAAAAGTGCAAAATCATGCGGTAGATGATTTTGTCATAAAGAAAGTGATAGAGTGTTCTGCCAAGGCAATCAAACCAAAAGGTATAATTTGCCTGGTTCGCCAGAGTTCTGCATCCAGAATAGTAGTAAAAAATAGATTTTTAAAAGGCAATGGAAGACTATTAGTGAATAGTCCAAAGAAAAATAAATCATTTTGTTTGAATCAATAAATTATAAGAGCCGCAAAATATAAATTCTATGTATATGTATATAAATAATATACAACTATTGAATAAAAATCTTGCAGTGTAGATGTGAGTAATAAGCAACAGAAATTCATGGTCAATATTTTTATTCCGATACAATCACATTATACAAAGGATTGAGTTTGGATTTTCTTTGTTATGCAGTTGGATTAAGGGTATACAATAGTCTTTTAAAGCTTCAGCCAATCTTGCAAATCTGGGTTTTGTACCCAGTGGCCACTAAATTATGGTCAGGTTTATCTTAATGTTTTTCTGCCTATGGCATGTTCTCAACTTTGACAACTTTAAAATGTGTGGACTTTAACTCCAAGCTGGCTGTGGAATTCTGGGGGTTGAATTCCATGCATCTTAATGTTGCCAACATATTTATTAAAGGCCCTATGGCTTCTAAATGTGTTGGAACAGTGTTTCTAAACCTTGGCAATTTTAATGTGTGTGGTCTTCAACACCCAGAATTCCCCAGCCAGGGAGAAGACTGATTGGGGAATTCTAGGAGTTGAAATCCACACATCTGAAAGTTGCCAAGGTTGAGAAACACTGCTTGGACTTCATTGTTCCTAATCAACACTGCCAATTTCTTTATTTACAGTTTTTATATACTTGCAGGAATGTTGGTCCTCGTACATCTGAAACTTGCCAGGCTGGGAAAGACCAGTATTTCCTCTGCTTTACAGTTTTAAAGTTCTAGTTCAGGAAGAAGAGCTGCCAGACTCAACAGCTGCAGTTTTGTACAAGAATTCAAAGAATACCTTGTCAATATCAACTATGTTGACAAAACCCACGGTCTGTTCAATTATAAAAGTAAATGTGCCATACAGTATTTTTTATATAAATATTTTATTAATTTTCTAGTTTTAAAATCATAAGTACTTAATAAACGTGTTGTCCTAGATCCATTAGTAATTCAGTGATACATATTAACTTCTTTAATCTAGGCCCAATATTACACCATCCAATGCTTACTCTTTTCTTCCAGTAGTACACATTTTCCCACATTAGGCAAATACAATTCTTATTGTTGTTAATACATATACAATTGAATATCAATATCTTTGTTACATTTTCCTAATAATATCAATAATGTCGGTTTCAAATATCTTTTCTAACCAAAATATATCCTAATTGCATTTTCACTTAATATCCATTTGTTCAATTAATTTTAATTTCCCATCAGTGTTCAAAATGTCTCTATCACTTATAATTTCTCATAATAAGTTATATTTGGGTAACCAAAAGCTTCCCTTATTCACACCCTCTTAGCATGCCATACAGTATTATTTGAGTTAACATATTCTGGGCCTGTTTGTTATTCAGTTCTCACTTTCCCATCTGAATTTAGAAACTATGGAGGAAAACAAAGTTTCCAGAGTTGTATGGAAATGTTGCTGAAGAAACTATAAGTCTACAAGTAAACAAGTTAAAACAAATGTCTAATAGCTTGCCAAATAAGCCTTTGTTTAAGTCTGGGCAAATCTGCTTTGCTCTGGAGCAAAGTTTAATTGAGAAATGTTAATTTACAACAATTTATGTGTGGGGGGAGGAAGGGAAGTAAGGTTTAGTTGTTACATTATAGTGTCACAACCAATCAAAGCATACTCTGGCGCATGCTTATTTGCTTTTATTTTGATTTATATCCACCTTTTTATCCAGGGAGGCACTTATAGCACCCAGTAATTAAACATAAATGTGTTTAAAAGTATTAATAAATTCTATACAAATCTGATTTATAAGATGTGTGACAAAAGAATCTGGCCAATGCTGTCTGGGCTTAGAAGTTAAGGAAGGTTTGGTGTGGATATTGCTTGAATGGGAGACCACCAGGAGAGTCCCTGGATTATTGACTTGAAAAACCAGAGGGCAATTGCAAATCACTTTCATATTTTTGCCAGGAAGCTTGAAATTTTCCTGAATTCAGAGGAAGGCAAGCTTGACTTGACGGAATCTTTTACCTTCATACAAAGCAGCTGATCTGTTGATGCATGAAACAAGACTGCTAATGTCCATGTGCTAATAGTAACAGCAGCAGGTGATCTGCAACTTAATACTCGATAGAGAAAAAGAGAGATGAGGTGGTGAGATTGTATGTGTAAAAAGACATAAATGTGTATGAAGATGGTAGGTCAGCATCCTGCATATGGGAATTTGAAGTGATTAGAATAGCTCCCTTTGTTGTCTAAATGTGATACTACTGTTTTATATCTTTGCATTTTTTGATATCCCTGTTTTAGGCCACAACAGTGCAACTGAAGCTCCACCTATTTGTTTTTATGCACATTGCATCATAACCTGCAAGAATCTTGTTTAAATAGATGTCAATTCTCTTAGTACTAGGTTTTTTTAACAATCCTAGCTAAAATGGGTTTTGAGGGCTATAATAAGGGGCTTGGAAGCTGCATGCCAATCTGGGACAGCTGCCTGTCCTTGAAGAATTGTATTAGACTCTAAGTATGGGCATATGGGAGAAAAGATTACAGACATGGACTGAACAAATCCAATTTTCCCCAATCTTTTCCAAACTCCCTATATTTTCAAACTTGACAACTTTAAGATGTGTGGACTTCAACTCCCAGAATTCCCCTACAGCTGGTCCTATATTAAACACTGAATGTAAATGCATATTACTGTTCTCAAGCCAAGGAAGGCAAAGGTAAAATAAACAAACCAGATAGTGCTTCCAAAACTAAGTTTATGTAACTGTCAAGCACATATTACACAATGGAGATTTTAGACTTTAGAATCCTAACCTTAATTCATGAGGTCTTGCCATAAACTTTCACTGGCTGAAATAATGGTGATGGGTGGAGCTGAAAGACAAAATTAGGTCTTTGGATTGGAACCAATCACCTACTACCACTTCCTTCCCTGCAAGTGTTGGCTTTTATAAATCTCTATGTAAATTACCAGAGACCTGGGCTTTAACCATTCAAAATTGGGTAGTTCAGCTCAAGGAAATCTTTGGGTACAAGTGAGTGTAATTTATTGTCGAGAGTATTAGAAGAAGGCTATAGCCCCTTTATACTTAACCACAGCACATATATGCCTTGCAGCTGCTCTTTTTTTTCTGACTTGTCCCCACCTTTATTTTATCCGCAGCCCATGAGTGAGACAGCTTTAAGTAATTCTCAACTGTAACAGTGTTAACACAGCATTCCTCCCCTTCTTTATTCCTAAACTATGTGAGAGAAATCTCAGGGTGTGTAAAGTCTGTGTCAACCATTATCTGGCAGAGAAATCAGGTGACAAAAATCTGCCACTGAGAGCCAATATCACCCTGTATAGTTTGTTGGCAATACTATTGTTTGGCACTGGGGAAAGATCCTAAAAGCAGACTGATCACTACAAGTGTAGTTGCTGTAGTCTATTTATTTCAGTTTAGCTCAGTGTTTTTTCAAACTTGGCAAGTTTAAGACATATATATTTCAAGTCCCAGAATTCTTCGTGCTGGCTGGGGAATTGTGGGAGTTGAAGTCCGCACACAGTATCTAAAAGTTGCCATATTTGAAAAACATTGGTTTACCACATAGTTTTTACATTGTAGCGACATAAAAACACCTGATATAAATTCTGGCTTATCTCCTACTTCAGGTGTTTTGAATACAAAGTGTTCAGAAAAGTGTTGATATGTTAATTCAAATAGGATTATCATTTATCAGAAAGATAGGTCTGTTTAATCTATTTTAATATTAAATTTATTTGGTTCTAGTTTAGTCTGTTGTGTGAATCCAGCCTTGGTGATTTGGAAATCCTAAATTATATTTGAACAGATTGTGTAGTTCCAGACAAATGTGATTATTTAATGCTCCAACTTTGGTATCCTCCAGATATGTGAACTTCAAGTACCAGAATTCTTAGCAACAGCCATGCTGGTCAAGGAATCTGCACAGCTACATATCTGGAAAGTCCACATATCTCAAATTGAAGAAGGAGAGCACACATCACAATGGTGAATACTGTATAAGTTGTTCCGTGCAGCATGAGAATAGAGCTAGATGGCTTACACAAATCAGCTCCATTTCTGGTAGCTATATATATTTGCTTGCATTTGCTGAAACTGAAATGTTGCATCATACAAGAACAGGTTAGTAGCAAGAGAATTTCTTGAGGACATTTGTATCTATCAAATATGCGCCAACACTAATATGCTGTCAGCATTATTAAATGG